CCCCGCAGACACAGGTGGTCCCAGGCTACATTGACGCTGATGCTGCGCCACGTGCTGTGCGTGCTGGCCCTCGCGCTGTGCTGCTGCACGTCTCTGTGCGTGGCTGCTGCTGCTGAGGTTTCTTCTGTGCCACCCGCAGGTGGTACGGGGTCTTCGGCGGAGATATCCACGCAGGAGGAGGGCGTGGCGGCGAGGACGAAGACTTTGGAGGCCGCGACCAAGACAGAGGCGGCAGCGATTTCTGCGAAGGAGGCACTGGCGAGTGTGAAGGCCGCAGCGGAGGGAGCTATGAAGGCCGCGGGGAACGTGGTGGAGGAGTGCAAGAAAGGAAGCACTAACAATGCAGTGGAATTGGTGCATGCATTGCATAAAGCACTGAGGAAGATACTGCGGCCTCCGAAGAAGGGTGATGGGGAAAATAAAAACCCGACTCTTGAAGAAATTAGGAATCCAGAAAGGTGGAATCCGGTTAAAGAGGCAAAGGAGAAAGCTTCGCCTGCGACATCGTCACTTAAAAACGCGGTAGAAAAAACAGCAGCGCCAGTGGAGAGTGCAGATGCGCCAGTGCAGCAGGCAAGAGCAGCGGTGGAGAAAGCCAGCGAGGCCCTGAAGAACGCGGCAGGAGGAGCGACGGAGATATTGGGTGCCGTTCGTAAGATTAATGGCATTACGGCGAAAGGAAGCACGGCGGCGGTGCAGTTACACACTGCTTTGAGCAATATTGCAGAAGTAATGAAACGCATTTTAGACTCTCTCGGCATTGTATTGAACCTTGCGGAGGATACCTTGACGTTGGCAGACGGAAGGACTGCTCCAGGTAACACAGATGCTGAAGACAAAAAGTTCGCAAACTTAACGAAGAGGGCGAAGAATATCTTGGATGACTTTGATGCACTAATGTTCGAAGCCGAAAACGTCACGGATGCCGCTGACGCCGCATTAGCCGTGGCTGCTGCGGTGGTCACTGAGGTGACGGCTGGGGCGAAGGACGCTGCGGCTGCGGTGGAGGCGGCCACTGCGGCTAGGGCGGCGGCTCAGAACGCGTTGACGCAAGCGGAGGGTGCGCTGCGGCAGCTGAAGGAGAAGTGGGATGACGGCGATAAGGAAGGGGAGAAGGCAGTCACCACAACGCTGCAGCGGGAAAACGAGTATGCTCCTGCTGTTGACGGCTCCCACGAGTCACACACTTCTCCGCCAGACGCCACGGACCCCGCACTTCTGGTGCCCACCGCTGCGGCTGCGCTCAACACCAACAACAACGCTGACGGTGGCAGCAGCACTGCATGGGTGCGTGCCCCAATACTGCTGCTGCTGGCCTGCGTGACTGTGTGGTAAGACGTCTGTGTGTGTATGTGTGCAGGAGGAGACGATGGCCTCGTGATAATTGCGTTGAGTCCCGAGGGCTGCGTTCTTCGTTATAAAGATTCTTTTGTTTTAACCTCATTGCTGCCCCGNCTGCCGCTGCCGATCCCGACACATCTACAGTTCCCTCAACAACAACAACAACAGCCGATGTGACTACTCCTATGGGGACTGCGGCTGGTAAGGCGGACGGCAGCACTTATGCGCGGCTGTGTACACCGCTGCTGCTGGTCGTGGGAGCGATGACCCTTGTGGCTGTGTGCTGATGAGCTGTGTGTGGGTGTGTGCATCGGGCGGGGTGGTATCCTTTTAATTGCGTGCGGCCCTGGAGGCTGAACACATATTAATGTTTTTCATTCCATTTCATTGCTGCCCCGTTGTGGGCTGGGCGCTGTTTAATTCACCCGCGACTGCACTCACTTGTGCTGTGTGTGTGTTGTCCGGGAGGCGTCTGTTTGTTTCTTCTCTGGG